TCAGGGTGAGGAACACTCCCAAAGAGAGGGACACTCCCTACATGGTGATGCCTTCATCACTGGACACAGAACCAATCAGAAAAAGGCTGCTTTCAATTCTTCATTTGAATGTGTGCTGCTGTTTGCAGGACCAATCAGAAGATGCTTTCTTCAGCATCCTTCATTTGCATGTGGGCACAACCAATCAAAAAGTTCTCTTCCTGATCCTTCCTTTACATACAGCAGGAAACCAAGTCAGGGCCAGTGTTCGAGCTTTGTTTGGGTGGTAGGTGAGGTCATTAGAGCAAATCCAAATTCTGTAAGAGGCAGCTTAGCTGTTTATACATACTGGTAGGCAGCTAGCAAAGAACCAGGCTTAAGACGGACTCAGGCTGGTCAGCTTTACAGAGAAAACGGTGGATACACCAAGCTAAGAGCTAACTCAAGCCATATAGGTATTCTATTTCCTTGAAAATAAGACGTAACAGGAAAATAAGCCCTAGTATGGCTTTTCAAGATGCTCATAATATAACCCCTAGCCCAAATAAGCTCCAGTCAAGAACAGCAGCTAGACAGATGCATTTAGTATGTCTGTTAGTGCACAGGACAGATTGAATTATGATGATGTTCCAGATGACACGACTGTATTTGAATAAATGTGGATTTTTGTACATGAATAAATGTAGACTTTTGTACATGAATACATGAATAAACATGGAGTGTTGTTCGTGAATAAATGTAGACTGTCGTACATAAAAAATAAGATAGTCCCTGAAAATAAGCCCTATTACAACTTTTGGAGCAAAAGTTAATTTAAGACCCAGTTTTATTTTCAGGGAAATGTGGTAGCTAAGCTCAGACACATAAAAACAAATATGAGAAAAACCGCAAGAGTTAAGATAAGAATATGCGGTTAAGGCCTCTGACGCCCAGGAAAGAAACTCTTCGGGTGGAATGGATCCCACCGAGTTAACCATCCCTTCCGACATCTGGGCTGGGAGCTGGGCTGAATTCAAAGACACTAAAAAACTGGCTTTTCTTTAGAACTCTGCATTAGAAAGCCTGAGTCTCAACTGGTTATTTTAATCCCACAGGGCTACCTATGATAGGACACTGGACACTGAGCAAATTCCCATGCTCTGCTTATACCAAAAGACCCTAGACAAAGCGCTTCCCTGGCCAACCCGCTTTGGGGACCCCCTCCTGACAACCAGGAGCTTTCTTTCTTCTTATAATTCCAATAAACACTCCTGTTTACTGATTCCTTCTTGTCCATGATTTCATTCTTCCACTTTGGGAGACCCAGTTTTCATGGGACCACTTCCAAAGGAATCAGCCTCAGGCACGCTGAAAATTCAGGTATGTTTCCGAGGAGTAGAGTACAGAATCTTCTAGAAGTATAGTAAGTATCGCACCCTGTCCCCATCCTCCTTCCCAGCCCCTCGAGTGCTAAGGCCATCCCAAGAAGGTCCCAAGAGGATGCAGGGAGCGATTCTAAGGCTCCTCCTTACACACATGGAGGCTAGCGTTCTCTGAAGAAGCCTCCCTGGGGTTAGGCATCCAGTGGACTGCATGACCTGGCTAATCCTGTCATCATGATGATGCACAGATGGAATGTTGCAGGTCCAGAACCAAAATTATCTTGGGATATCTGAGAGCTTTTAGAAAATCAGCCACCTACTTTTAACCTTTACAAGGGACCTAACAGCCTCATGCTCATTAGGTGACCCTCTCAGAATGTTCAGCTCGGATTAGCAGAGCTCACACCTTCAACAACCCCAAATCCAAGGACGCTGTCAGATAACATCTGAAACCCACAGCAAACATACTGGGGCCAACCTCCCCTACCAAGGCATGTGTTAGATGCCTTGATTTCTGACTTTCTTTTCACAGTCCTGGGATTGAATACACAGCCTTTGCACACAGCTATATCCCTTGTCCTTTCTTATTTTTTATTTTGAGACAGGAACTCACTAAGTTGTTAAGTTGCCCAGGCTGGGCTTAAACTTGTGATCCTCCTGCCTCAGTCTCCCAGACTGCTGGGGATAGACATGTGCCACCACACCCAGTTGATTTCTGACCTTCTTTATTCTGTGGCTATAGAGCTCATGTAACCCCTTCCACGGCAGAACACGTCCATCACTCAGGATAACCTGAATCCACATTCCTAGGCCACAGTCACTCATATTTGGCTCAGGATAAATAATTTTCTATTTCCTTTCATGTCCTTGCCAGAGAACTCCCAGCCCAAGACAATGTGGGCAGTCAGACCAGGCCACCTCAGCGGAAGCCAGGCTGGACCCCAACATAGCCAGCTATGGGCACTGAATAATCGGAGGGTGAAGGATCCTATATAAACATCCCGTCCACCATGCAGATGCTGCAGAAATGAGAGGTACCGAGACACAGAACACTCAGCGTGGTCCCAGGTGGTAAATCCCAATCAGCACCAAGGTAGGCTGTGAAATAAGGATAAGTAGAAAGGAGACGAGAAAAACTCAGAATTTTAAAATTGTATTTTAAGAAAACCTACAGCTTCAAGACATAAGCCCAGTTTAAACTGTTTTCTCTCTTCTCCCAAGACACAATAAATCTGGGCAATTTCCTTTCACCTGAAAATTGGCCTTTTCATCCGTGCATAGACTGTCTCTTTTCATCTGAAAACTGTGGTTATCCTCAAGGAAGCAGCAGTATTAATGGACAGCAGATCTCAGCTTCAAGCGCATGCAGACAGCTTGCATTCTCACACGGCCTGCCGATGGGTAACCGGTCAGACCGGAGAACACACTTCCTAGTTCGCCCAGCTTGAAGACACCCCAGACGCCTTAAGTATTCCCAGCTCAGAATATTCCCAGCTCCAGATCATAATGCACTTCTGTCTCTGGAGAGCCTGAATTCTATTTCTTTGAGTGCGCACTTTAAATTCCTGCTTAATAAATCCCTTTATGCCTCTTACTGGCTTCTACTGTGGGAGTCAGCGAACCTGCAGCTTAACTGTATGGGTAGGGTGGGTTTAGGACCCTGTCTGGTGACAGAGGTTGTCACCTGGGACACAAGGAGGTTGTCCCCAGGGCTTGGGGGTGGTGCATCCTTCTACTGAGTGAGAAGTAGCTCGGCCTGGAGCACAAGCAATTTTGGCACTGGCGGATGCCTCTGATTTGTGAACAGAGAGGAGGACGACTGGAGCCCTGCAGCCACCACTTCCAACCCTGCCAGGGGTCACTGGGCAGGAGTTTGCCATTTCCAAGATGCCTGTGTCCCATCGAGTCCTTGGGACAGGATCAGGGGCTTTTTTTTTTATGTTTTTATTTCTTAGTACCGGGAATCAAACTCACGACCTCGCGTTTGCCAGGCGCTGTGCCGCTGAGCTACATCCCCACCCAATAAAGGGTTTTTAAAGCAGGGGGTCTGCATCTCAGAACAGCAGCCCCACACCCCGCTACCCGCAGGCCCAAGAGCTCAGTGCTGGCCACAGGGCGCAGCCTGTGTGTATCTGGCATGTCGCTGGGAGAAGTGCATCCTCAGCCCTCCAGCCAGACCTGCTCAGGGACTGAGCACAAGCCCCTGCCTGCCGAGTGCCCTGAGCCACACTCTCTGCACGGCAGGGAGGACAGAATCCCCCACCAGGTCCCCCATGTGCAGCTCCGTGCTGGACTCAGGCTCCCACCTGAGCCTTGATCCCCAACATGTCCGGAGGCCTCTCCCTTTAGTGTCAGGGACCCAGACACAGCCCAGCGCATGTGCGTGTGCTATGCACAGACCCATCCTGGCAGCCACCTCAGAGCCATCTCTCTCCAGCTTCGCCCACCAGGGAATGGAGATGGGGTCGGGAACTCTGCCCTCCCCCCTACCACCTCCTACTCATGACTCAGACCCCACCCAGAATCGAGGCAAGTCCCCCAAGGTCCCCTCAGGGAATGGAGGGACAGTATGGAGGACGGAGTGCGTTCTACAACAGCACATTACATTTCTGTGCAGTTCCAGCCAAGAGTCACTTAAGGGCTGCAAACACAAAGCAATAATGCTAAGGAGAGAAAAAATTAATTACCTGATAAGGCCCACCCGCCCCGCCCCAGTGTGCTGAAATATCACACTGTGCCTCATTAATATTCCTAATGCACACATTGCTGTATTCAACTAATACATGTGAATCAGAAACTGAAGTTAAACTTAATAAATGAAAATAAAATGATCTATATGGGTATAGGAAGAAAAAAATAAAAGAAAAAGTACAGAGAGGCATGGTGATCTATGCAGATGTGCACAGACTCACACGCGCACTCCAAGTGCACACACATGCACACAACCCACGCACTGCCCCGCACAGCCACGCGCATACCCACACACTCGCCAGCGCACAGGGACGGCGGCACTTCTCCACCGCACCTCACTTCTACTAGGACACAAACGCTCGGTTTCACTGCAGTGTCTACACATGAAACGAAATGGTGCGTGTGTTCAGAGAACAGTGTGTGGAATAACATATCCAATTTACAACAAAAGCAGAAGGCAGTTGAGAGCTTCTTCCCCGCCCTGAGCAGCAGACAAGGACGCACAGGGATGTGCTAGCCACGGGCACTTCCTGTCAGGCACAGCGAGGAGCCCATTGAGGGCACTGCAGAGGCTGCCACTGTGCCAGGAGACCCCCTTCAACTCCTAGGCACCCCGGAAACAGCAACGTGTCCTGGGTCGGCTACACTGAGCCAAGAATGGTGACGCCTCACCAGCAGGTCAGAGCAGGTCACAGATTCACACGCTCCTAAGGGTGGCCAGGATCTGCCCGGCCCTCCCGAGGCCGGGGGAGCCTGTCCAGCTGCACCCAAAAGACAAGCACTCAATGCCACCCTGTCACCATCCATGGCTGATGAGCAGCTCAGCACCTGCAGGGCACACAGGCCCATCGGTCTGTCCAGGCCCCGCCCACAGAGTGACACCTGAGTCACAGCCCCTGCCAGGGAGCGGGAAGCCCAGGCCGGGGAAAGCCATCCCAGCTGCCATCGGCGGCTCACCCACACCCTTACCTGCTTCTCATTCTCATCCTCCAGCCGCAGGCGGTCCTCGATGCAGCCCCGGGCCTGCAGGAAGGCCTTCCTCTGAGAGCGCTCCGTCACAATGCGCACGAACACACCGTACATGTTCACGCTCACGAAGAGCAGCGCGTTGGCCCCAAGCTGCACGGACAAAGCAGATACAGTATGCGGTCTTGGGTGGGTAGGTGCAGGAGGGACACAGCCTCCAGGGAGCATGCAAAGACCCCCGAAAGACCCCACATCAACCCAAGAGGCCAGAGCCTCCCAGACCCACAGCACAGGAGGCCCCAGGCTGGGCACAGGTGCAGACACGCGCACGTCCATCCCGTGTGGTGGCAGGAGTTGAGTGGAATCCAAGGCTAGCATTGTGGGTTGAAGTTTGTCCCCCCAAATTCATATGTGGAAGTCTTAACCCCAGGACCTCAGAGTGTGATGCTATTTACACACAGGGCCTTTAATACGGTACTGAAATGAGGTCATTAGGCCGGCCCTGATCCAGTCTCACTGATGGCCTATAAGAATAGGATATCAGAACAAGGGCACAGGGAGAAGATGGTCTATAAGCTGAGGATGTGGAAGAAACCAGCCTGGACGTCCAGCCTCCAGCACTGGGCAGCAACCATTTCTGTTCCTGAAGCTCCTCCTAGACAGTAACAGCGGGAAGAGCGACTATGCTCAGAGGCTCGTGGAACATTCCAGGGAGGCTCAGGGAAAGTGAACTGACTAAAGTAAACCCCAGGTGGATTGACTTTACATGAAGCAGACTCCAGCCCACCGCGAGGAGACACGGTGTCTGGAGATTTGTCCATGTGGGGCCCTGGGGCCAGCTGTGAAGGCCTGGCCAGAAGGGACACTGCTGCTTTGGTAACAACCAGATCCCAACCCAGGAGTGGCGGCGCACACCCAATAATCCCGCACTCTGGGAGCAGAGAATCTCAATTAGCCTGGGAAGCTCTGCAAGACCCTGTCTCAAAATTAAAAGATAAAAAGTACAGAAGAGGTAGAGGTACAGCTCAGGGCAAAGGTCCTGGCTTCAATCTCCACTGGCGGGGAACGGAGACAGAACCCCAGGAATGTAGCATTTCTGATTTCCTGGTCCTGAACCAGCTACAGCCAAGCCCTCACAGGACTGAGAACAGAATCCACAGGACCCGGCCATGGCTAGGAGGACACGCTGCCTGGTCACATGGCCAGATGCAGTGGCCCAGGATGAGGCTCAGCCCCAGGCATCAGCCCTGACTGCCGGCCCAGCAGGACTCCTGCTCTAGTCTGATCCCGACGTCCCAGGCCACAGGTACAGAGCTAGACAGACACTTCTCAAGAGCCACACAGGACCATGAGAAGTCGGCAGGGAACACCCACCCCACCCAACGCAGGCCACAGGCGCTGTGTGAAACAGAATCCTTCCCCATCAGCTGCAGAAACAGAGGATTTCTTCATCTGACTAAACTCAGTATTTCCACCTCTGCCCCAGGAAACGAGAACCTGCAGTTCCAAATGTCACCAGCCCTTGCAGACCTCCCACAAATGCCCCAGACAGGACTGCACACATATTCTTGAAGCAGAGCAGGTAGGGTAGGGCTCTAATGACAGAACTCCTGAGGGAGAGGGTGTCATGGTTTGCGCCTGGATGTCCCCCCAAAGCTTCATGCAGTCATGGGGTGGGCTTCCAGAGTTTGTGATTGATCCAGGATCCACTGCTGGGATTATGGGTGTGAGTGCTGCACCCGCCCTGGAGCTAGAAGCTTGTATATAACATAAGGGAGGGAAAGAGGATGCCCTTCTTGCCTCCTCCTCCCCTTCTTGCTCTTGTTCCTTTTTCTCTTTTCTGCCACCATGCACTGTTGCTCCTCTGCCAGGCCAGCCTGCCTTGGAGCCAGCTGATTACAGACTAAAGCCTCCACAGACTGCGAGCCAAGTAAACCTTTCCCTCTTTAACTTTGGGCGTCGGGTATTTTGTCTCAGCAACAACAGGAAAGTAACTAAGACAGAGGAGACAACCCTGATGGAGAGGAGCCACAGGGACAGCAGGGGTCTCTGGCAGCCTGCACATAAGACCTGGTAGTGTACGGCACCCCTGGGTGCTGAGCCAGGGAGCACTAGGACGGTAAGTGGAGAGAGGACAGAGTTGGACAGCAGAGAAGGATTCGGGCACCTTCTAACTTGAGGTGTCTGGAATGACCTCTGTTAAAGTACACTGAAACGACAGCCAGGCCTGAAGTCCCTGTCATGAACTGAATAAGAAATGTCCCCAAAGGCCAAGTGACAGCCTTTGGGAAGTGACTGGATCATGAGGGCTGTGACTTCACCAGCATCTTCATCTTCTGGGGAATGGAGCATTCAGGGGCATCACTGGGAGATGAGGAAAACAAGAAACGGGGCCTGCTCAGAGGGACCGAACCACAGCAGCAGGACCTGGGGCACTCGAGTTGGTCCCTGGCTTCTCCTCCGGCCCCAGCCCCCGCTCCCTGCTTCCTGGCTGCCAAGCTGAGCGGTTTTCCTCCACTTGGCCCCTAGCAGAGGACACCAAACGTGCAGAGACCTCACAAGTGACCTTAACCTGAGCGGATTTGCAAACACGGGCCAACCTTAATGTGAGCGGTTCCTTGCAAATGCCAACATTAAAAACAAGGGAGTAAGCTTAACCAATGGAAGCAGCCACTAAACTTACCTATGTGTAAGGAGGGAATAATCGGCGTAACCGTAACTATTGATTTTACTTCTTCAGTCATCACCCTATAAACAAGTGTACCCAACGCTTAGACATCAGTACATTAACCTCTTTTGGTTCCGTGATTCCACGCTCATGAATTGTATCGACACAAACAAACTCTTTAGAAATTCTATTGTGCCTCGGTTTACTTTTCTACACCTCAAGGATCTGTCCAGCAGGGGGCTGAAAATATTCTCCAGTCAACAGTCAGACGTACTCTAGAAATACACTGAAGTCATTTTCAAAGTGGTGACCAGGAGTAAGGACAATGACCACGGATCTGCAGGGCCCCAGCCTCAGCGAATGGCCAGCCTCTGCCAGAACCCCCAGACTCAGGTTCAGCCGACCCAGAGGGGCCGACACCAACACCACACACTGGCGGGGTTAGGGCGCTGTCTTTCCTGGATGTCACAACCCCCCATGGGAAGGTAATCATCTAGGAGGGGAGGAGGTGGCAGAGTGGCCAATGGAATGGTTTCCCACAGCCCTGAACATGATCACGGTGACCCTGACACCTCTACGATGACAACAAACCTACAAAATGACCCCGAACATCTATCTCATTGTAGCCCTGAATGTCTGCATTTCCAGATGACTCTGAGCAACTAATTCACTGTGACCTGAACCTTTCCATGCAATTCTGTACATCTCACTGTGACCTGAACATCTAATTGTGACCCTGACACTTCCCAGTCACCTTGAACATCTGTGACCCGAACACCTGACTGTGATCCTGCTATCTCTGCGCCACTCTTAACCTCGCTGTGACCTGACCCCTCCGTGTGACATGAACACCTTCCCGTGACTGAACACCACCCTTTTGATGCTTTTTCCTGAGCTGCGGTCGTGGAGCGCACAGGTTTTGGGCCCAGCTTTCCCCATGAACCACCAGCGAGGCCGTTAGGATATGCTAAGTGCCCTCAGTCACTCACTGTGCCGGCGACCTCAGTGACCTCAACATACTGCTGGCAGGGCTGTTCTGCCTCTCACAGAGCCGTGCTCTTACACTGTCATTCTTGCTGACTTCCCTTCCCTCATCCCTCTCGTGACCGGGTCCTTGGAGGTGACGTCCCGCCTAGCGTGACACCCTCGCTACTCCCACAGCTGGCTCCGGGGCAGAGAACCTGCTTTGCTAAGTCCAGGCCCGCCCCGCCGGCTGCCCCACAGTTCTGAGCTGGAATCACCGCAGTGCAGGAGCTTCTGCTGTGGGAGTGCACCGCTCAGGGCGCAAGGCTAAACACCAGCCTGCGTGCCACCCCTTGTGAGTCCCAGCCCCGGCCGGCACTTCTCCCTCGTCCACATCTGCCGCCTGGCTCACCCGCAAACGGCCCCAAAGCCCTCCCAGATTGGACGTGCAAAATCAGACGGCCAAGCCGCCCCGAGCCTTCCCACCACTGGGGATGCATCTGGGTTCACCGAAGGAGGGACAAGTGTGTCCCCCTGCACCCCCCAGCACAGCACCCACAGTGCTCACACAAGTGCTATGTGCCACGTCCTCTCTGCATGTATTTGTCCTTAGAAACATCCAGGATGAGCACACAAGTGATGTGGACCACGCCCATGGCCTTGGCCCTAGGAGAATTCGGGTAGGAAGCTCAGCCAGAGGAAGCCCAGTCCAGCAGTTGGTGATGTTCCGGACTCTGGGCTGTAAGAGGAGCGGGTCACAGCCTCAGAGCAGAACACACACCTCGGGAGGCCGCGTGGCACCTGACCGCCACGAGGCGTAAAAGCTAGGCAGGCTGCTCTGGGGGCTCCTGAGGGAACCTGCCCTGGGCCAAACACCAGAGCAGAGCCCAGTGCTGCAGGCTACAGGCTGTGTGTCTGGATCCAAGTGCTGAGTGGACAGACTTCAGGGACCCCATGTCCTCTGCACAAGCTGGAGGATGTCAGGGCCACCACGCACAGCACTAGAAAGGTGTCCACAGCCCCAACGCAGGACAAGAGCAGGGGCTGAGGGTGGGGAGACTGAGGCAGGAGGGTCTCTCCAGACAACAAGGTGCACTGTCTAGTTAGATGAGGCAGATGAGCTCCAATGGGAGTCATCAGGCACCATATGGTCCGGAAGGGGCCACGAGCTAAGCTGACGAGGCCTTCACAGGAAGTCACCAGCCCCTTCCCAAGGAACGTGAAAGGCAGGCGGACCCCAGCCCTCAAAATAAAACCTATAATTAAGAACAACATAATCTCGCTTTTGAGATTCGTCCACAGCCTCACTTCCTTTCTCTCCTGGCTTCCTCCCAGAACACAATGGACTCAGATTGCGGAGTGGGAAAGGGGGTCAGAGGGGGAACAGCTGGTGCCTCTGTCTGTCAGACCGGCTGACCAGCCTGGGGGCCACCCCTTCCTCCCCAGGCGCCTCAGGACCTGGGGCAGAGGAGACCTTGTTCCCCCTACTTGGCCAACTAGAGCAGCGGAGCCAGCTCTGGCC